CACAGGATAGGGCAGGGTTTAGGGTTGTTGTACATAGGGTCGCTATGAGTCGCAAGCGACTCGACGGCACATAACAACAAAAACAAAGAGTATTAAAGACTTCAGTTAACTATTCTAAGTAATTAATATTGAAGATATTGATGGTCTTGTGATGTTCAAAACCCAGCTAGTCCAGAAAACATCAGAAAAAGTCAGTTACATTATTTTAAGGAGTGCTTTATTCTTCATCTTTTGTATTCTTATATTTGATTTTGAGTTGTTTGTTTTTTATTATTTTTTCTTTGGTAGCAAATACTTTTTAATTGGGTGAACTTTATTTATTTATTTATTTATTTATTTTTTACAAATACATTGGAGAATCAAGCCAGCACTAGATGCAGTCCAGGCCACTTCTTTGCACCTGGTCCAGTGATGGCCGAACCTTTCATCTCAACTTTATGGCTCAGTAAGAGAAATGAGGCTGGAGATAGAATGATAGAGTTCTGCACATTCAATGATTTATTCATTGCAAATACCTTTTATAAGAAACATAAACTCAGGCTATACACATGGATTTCATCTGATGGTATGTATAGGAATCAAATCAATTACATTTGTGGAAAGATTCGCTGGAGAAGCTCAATATCAGCAGTGAAAACCAGGCTGGGTGCTGATTTTGGGACAGACCACCAACTACTCATATGCAAATTCAAGCTGAAGTTGAGGTAAATAAATTAAGTCAAGTCGATGGGAACCAAGATTTGACCTTAAGTCTGTCCCACCTGAATTTCAAAACCATCTCAGGAACAGATTTGAGGCCTTGAGCACCAATGAGCGTAGACCAAATGAGCTCTAAGAGGATATCAAGAAAATCATCCATGAAGAACGCAAATGATCATTACAAAGGCTAAAGAAGAAGAAAAGATCAAGATGGATGTCAGATGAGACTCTGAATATTGCATTAGAACGCCATGAAGCCAAAGCTAAAGGAAGAAATCAAAGAGCTGAATAGAAAATTTCAAAAGGCAGCTCGGGACAACAAGGCAAGATACTGTAATGAAATGTAAAGAGAGCTGGAGTCAGAAAATCAAAAGGGCCGGAGTCGTTCAGCGTTTCTTAAGCTGAAGGAGCTGAAAAACAAATTCAAGCCACGGGTGGCAATACTTAAAGGTAGTTTGGGTAGAATGTTGAATGATCCAGGAAGTATCAAAAGAAGATGGAAGGAGTACACAGAGTCACTGTATCAGAAAGAATTGACTGACCCAGTGGAATTTCATGAAATAACATATGAGCAAGAGCCTATGGTGATGAAAGAGGAAGTTCAAGTTGCTATGAAGGAATTGGCAAAAAACAAGGCTCCAGGAGTTGATAGCATACCAAATGACTTATTTCAACAAACAGACGCTGCCCTGGATGTGCTCACTAAGTTGTGCCAGGAAATCTGGAGGATAGCCAGCTGGCCAACGGACTGGAAGAGATCGATATTTGTTCCCATTCCAAAGAAAGGTGACCCAACAGAGTGTGGAAATTATCAAACAGTATCATTGATATCACATGCAAGCAAGATCCTGCTGAAAATTATCCAAAAACGTTTGGAACAATATGTCAACAGAGAACTGCCAGATGTGCAGGCTGGATTTAGAAGACGTTGCGGTACTAGGGATATTATAGCTAATGTTCGGTGGATCTTGGCAGAAAGCAGAGAATACCAGAAGAATTTCTATCTGTGCTTCATTGACTATGCAAAGGCTTTTGACTGTGTGGATCACAACAAGCTGTGGCTGACTCTGAGAAGAATGGGAATCCCAGAACATTT